ACCCATTTTCTAGACTATCAAACGGACCCGTAATGTATTTTTTATTTTATGTCTAAAGGTGACAAATGTGGCAAAATTAGTGAAAGTGACATTTTCTAGACGAATTAGTGGATTTTGATATGTAGTGCAATTTCCACTTTTTATTTTTATAGTTGTATATTTTAAATTTAAATCTTATTTAAAAATATGGGGAAAAAAGGGTAATAAACAGAAAAACGGAGCCAGAATGTGGACTAAAATTTATCCCGTTATTTCATTTTAATATGCTATTGGACCCGTACTCATATTACGTTATGTTAAAGGAGATGCCAAAAAAGTTGAGAATATTAAGGAGGAGTCTATGTAGTTGTTGTACCCGTTTAAATCAAAATTTTCTTTGAATTCTTTTTCTAAAAGAACGGTTAGTAAATGTATTCAATCAAGATTAAATTACATGCATGTTTGGTTAGGTGGCTATATTCCTTTCGGGAATGGATGTTCCATTAAATTTATTAGGATATAAAATAACATGATTCCCCTTATTTAGGTTCAGAAGGTAAGCCTAAAATCTCTAACTTAGATTGACTCACAGATGGATCAATCTTCCCCATAGCATGCTTCGCAATCACTCATTCGTCCTGATCAAATAGTAGAGTTTATTTCTCAACAATTCTTTTCTCCTCTAATCATCATTTCCTAACCAGCCCGTCCGTCCAATTGATCTTGTAAGATTGGCTAATTCAAAAGGGAAATCTATGAAACAAACAATGGCTATTAGAAGAGCGACATCCGTTTTTCACAAGACAACTGCGAGAGACCAATTCTTGATAGAGTACCTCATTTTCAAACTCTTCAAAATCAATTAAATCTTCATCCTATCTGTCCTTACTTGCCGTTATTATCGCTCATCCAAAGTTATAGAAGAGTTATGTGAAGCAGTTGGGCATAAAGTCAAAACCAAAATAGCTAAGCTATTTGTATCTAGTAATGTCACAAGCGCCCAAGAATGTTTTTCATATGTAGAGAATAAAGGCAAAGCTAGATAATAATAATAATAATAATAATAATAATAATAATAATAATAATAATAATAATAATAATAATAATAATAATAATGCTTGACAAGATAAAATACTTAAAAGTTGTAGAACTAAAATCTTTTTATGGTGACATAAAAAATATTCAAAATTAGTAAAATAAGGTTTGGAGTTACAAGATGAAATATATACACATATTAAAATTTAAAAACTTGTGATGAAAAAAGTTTATATTGACACAATATTAAATATAAAAAATCACTATATTTTGAAAGTGAGGTTAGTCCAGTAACAAATATCTTTGGGTAAAACTTAAAATTAAAATAAAGTCAAGTTTGATTATATTCATACCATATTTTAATT